TGCTGTCTCTGAAGCCAGGCCGTTTTAGAATGAGGGTGGAGACGTTCAGGGGGAGACCGAGACGGAAGCTGGATGCTCCTTACGAGCGTCTCTGTCCTGAGAACAGAGTGTCACCACCCCCACTCCGTAACCTTCTCAGTTTACATCTGAGAGAGCTGAGCTCTGTCTGCAGAGGGCGCTCGGTCCACCGTGCCCGACTTAGGACTCAACTAAAGGCCGGGTGGGAGCTCTCCACGGTGCTGATCCAAAGCTGGGCTGATTTTAGGAAATCTCCATTCATGCTATGGACCTAAATTCGTGGGTACAAGGTCCTGAGCATTAGGCCAGCAGGAGAGCTGAGCCAGAGGGCTTCAAATAGGCTGGGTCCTTCTTGGGAGGGAGCTAGGGCAGGAAGTGGGAGTGGGTAAAGCTATCTCTCTGCTTCCCCTCTTGTTGCCCTCATTTCATTCTTTAGAACTTGTGGTGACTGATAAGAGATAGGGAAGAAAAACGTATTTTCTGAAGTTCTGTATTACACTGACATTTCTGGTCCTTGGGATATAGTTAAGTTGCAAGTTCGTGCCTAGATCACCCCTTTGGATAAGAGATTAGTAGAGTGATGGGTGCTTACTGGAGCTCTGAGTGCCAGGCTGTGCTTTTCTAGATATTGCTCCCCACTAACTCCCACACTCAATATGAGAGAGGCTTTTGGTTAATAATTCTTATTTAAGCCAGGCAGAGTGACACCAGCTGTAGCTCAATGTGAAGGCCTTGGGTTCAATTTCCAGAACCACACACAAACAAAACCCTACTTATTTGACAGAGTGAGAAATCAAGACGTGACATGGTAAGGAACCTTCACAGGATTTCACATTATCTGTGCATATTTGGGGGTGGAATTGAAACCACTCCTACCTGGTATGACAGGGAGAGCACCCCTGGATCACCTTGATACTGGATCCCAAAAGAAAGCAGGAGGGAAGAGGATAAACTTTGGGAAAGTTTTCCATCTAAGAAACACAGGCCATCAGACCATACTGTAGGAATGGCAGTGGCAGCAGAGAGGAGAGAAGCTTCCCAATGGAGGGGGAATCTACAGGTTCAAGGTCATGGCTCCAAGGACCATCTTCTGACACCATCTCCCAACTAGTCCAGGACACACTGTTTCCAGTGAGCACAGCATGCCTACTGAGGAGCAGTCGCTTAACGTGTTCCACTGCAAGGTCCCTAGAGGAGAACTGCACAGTGGGTATCCACATGTCATGGGAAGCTACCAAGCTAGTCAGCTACCACTGAAACTAAAGATCTCAGTGCGGCCTGCAGAGAGAACATAGCTTTTTGAGAATACTAGGCCAACTGCAGGGGAGATCAGGAGAAACTGAGCTTCTAACAAGAGTGTGTAGAGATCCGGGATAATACCGGAGAGTATTGGTAAAATGTGTTCACTTCCCACTCTGGGCTGGAACCTGTGAGCTGTTCTCATGTTGCATGTTTCCTGGTTGCAGCCAGCATGTAGAAATTTGATTTATGAGATAAACTATACTGTGAGAACTACTTGAGACATTCATTAAAAGTTGAAATTTGCTGTGGTCCAGCATAGGGCTGAGTGCTGGAGCTTCAACAGGGCACAACGCTGACTTGGCACTAACATCAGAGTGAACGTGGTCTAGGGTGTCACCTCAGTGTCCTCATCTGTAAACTGAGGTGGACACTGTCGCCCTGAGGGTCCCTTGGAGCTTCTGTGGGGTGGGGTGGGGCACTGAGAACCTGAATCACTCCACTTATGCCAGAACTCACTTCCTCCCAACGTTTGCCCACCCTGGCTCTACCTCCCCTCCCTGTTTCAGGATACGTCAGGCCCTGCCAGGTCTCCCGGCTTGAATCGGACAGGGCTATCTGGCAGGCGTTTTCCCTGCATCCCCTCAACCCATAATTTCTCACTGGTTTTGTACGTTGCAGCTACTGATCCCGTCTGAAGTGTCCTTTGTCAAAACATTTTCAGTTTTCATGTTGCCAGTTCTATCAAGATTTTGGGTAAGAATGCTGAGTTAGTTTGGGTCATATTGTCTTGCAATTATTTTTGGTAAAAATTTTCAACGAAAGATGAGTGTGCGAACATCAGCTATTTCCTAGCTTACATTATCTCCATGTATTTTTGCTATGAAGAATACCTCTACCATTCACAGTGTGTCATCATGGCACCGTTCAAAAATAGAATGTGAAAGCAACCAGCACCTTAGAACCGTCTTTGCCATCCTACCCAGTCTCCTTCATGAGTTACATGGCCTATATTAATGTTTGGGTTTATCTTTATTTCTTGCCTTTGCCTGTAAGCATAATACTTGTGTGTACATCCTTAAGTAAAACTTCGCACTTTAACATTTCCTATAGAGTGATATAGTAATGTGTGTTATGTATTACCAAGTAGAATACACAAATTTTGTTCTTGTGCATGGCGACATAATATACAATTTTGTTTCCTTTTACTTTTGGCCTTCTCTGTTGTTACACTTTAAGTGCATGTGATTTGAAGTTCACGTACAGATGGTCCCTGATTTCAGCGTTTGACTTTTGATTTTTTGACCTTATGCTAGCACAAGAGCAATGTCTGTTCAATAGAAAATGTAGTTTGAGTTTTGATCTTCACCTGTGCTATAGTAGGTGACATGATACCATCATGTGCTGGGCAGTGCCAGTGATCCCAGTTCCCAGTTAGCCCTGAAATTATGGGTGAACAACATCCACTTTATAGTGTGCTGTGCAGCTAACTGTAGTGGTCTGTAGATTAAGTTCTTAAAAGCCCTTGAACTTGCGATATTTTCAATTTATGATAGGTTTACTGAGATATAATCCCATCTTAAATTGGCAAGTGCCTGTAATTGAAATATTAATCCAAGTTGGCTGTCTTTAACTGGTGCATCTATCCAATTATATTTGACAGAAATATCCCATATTCCATTTTTTTTTCAGTGTCACCAATCCTGCATCACCTCATCTCGCCATTCTTGCCTTCTTTCAGCTTACTTAGTTTTTGTAGTATACTTTTAATTATTGTTACGTTACAAGTTACATATTTTGATTCTAACTCTTTTAGTCATTGTCATAACATTACAGCATGCACAATTAACTTACTGAAGCCTTTAGTAAATGAAAACTTCTCTCCCTTTTGCATAATATGTAGATATTAGGAAATGTAAACCTTCTTACTTCCTTTTGTACTTAGCATATTATTATCAGGAATTCTAAAACTCTCTCTTGATTTATTGTTCAGATATTAAATCTCCCCATTCATTTGCTCCAAAAGATCTTTACTGGTTCTTCTTCTTCTTTTTTTTTTTTTTTTTTTCTTTTTTGGTCTTTTTCTGAGACAGGGTCTCGCTATGCAGTTCAGGCTGGCCTTGAGCTCCCTTTGTAGCCCAGGCTGGTCTTGGACTTGCAACAATCCTCCTGCCTCAGCCTCCCGAGTGTTGGGATTATAGGAGTGTGCCACCATGCTAGGTCTCTTTAGTGGGTTTTAATTTGAGCCTCTGTACTAAATATGGATTATAAATTGATGTTAAAGATAGTACTTACCTGCTTCTGCTCTACATTATCATTGTTAATTCAGCTGTCCATTAAACTGCTCTTCTTATGAAGGTAACCTGGTTTATTTTTAATCTCTGGTTATTGCTCAGATTTTCTCCTTTGGTTTTCTTTGACTTACCTTGACCTGACAAAAACTCAATTTGAGGATGTTCTTCTATGAAACTTCTCATCCTGGGCAGGGCCAGAGCCTGGACTTTTGTCTTTGGGGCCATGTGCAAGATTACAAAACCAAAACTCACATTTTCAATATGAGTAAATGGCCTGTGAGATCTTTGAAATTTCATCTTAGATCTTCTGCTTCGTTCTCTGGATTCATACTTTCCCCCAACTTGTGGCCTATTTAGTTTCCATTTTTGCTATCAGGTTTTCTATACTTTTTAGTGAAGACTTTTTTCCGTCTTCATTTTTAAGAGGGTTTTATCATTTTCAGCCTGAAGCTTGATGAGAATGATCTAGCCTGTCGTAATCAAAGTAACAGTCACAACCAAACTGACAGTACTAAAAATAGAGTTTGGATAGTGGGTATTTGGAATCAGTGTTACCTCTAGTAAGTCCTGCAGTATTACCCTGGAACTGTCCACGCCTTTCCTTGTGGGCACTTCTAAAGTTCAAGAAATAACAGCATAATCTTTTCTCAGCTTGGGTGCTGCTGTAGAATCTTTCATTGTTTTTGTTTTAGTATCTAAAGATCTAAATTGGTTCAGCCTTAGGGAAAGGGGCGCATGGGTTCATTTGCAGCCTACATTCTCAACACAAGTCTATCCTTGCACCAATATTCAAGGGACAAGGTGGTGTAAGCCACATGAAAGTAAGATGGAGTGGCTTCCATGTGGAAGATTTGAAATCATAAGGACACAGTGATATGAACCAGCTGAGAGGCTCAGGGAAAGGACAGCCAAGAAGAGAAGATGGATGAATGGGCACCAGGGAGATCATGAGGGACTTCAGATGGAAAGGAAGGAGGTGACTGCTGTGTGCTGTTTAAAGCCAGGGAGTCATGAATTAGTTTGAGCAGGGAAGAATCTGAGTCAGCGCTTTGGCTGCTAGGCAGCCTCTCTGGGTCTCATGAGTGAAATGAAGAAGGAAATGGAGCGGGAGAGATACGTTGGAGTGATTGACAGACAAAAGTTTGGCGAAGAGATAACAGAAGGCCGCAGATGCCACATCATAAATCAAATCCCAGTCTTTGGTGAGGAAGCTTTGAAGAATTCTGGGGAGGACAGAGACCCCAGTGTGCTACTGCCATGTTCTCTGCGCCTGGTCACCCCAGCTCCGGAGGACTTCCCAGCAAAAGCTTGATGGTGAAGGGAGCACCAAGCTCACACCCCCAGACAGCACCTCTGTTGGTTGATTTCCATGTGTAGGGTTTTTTTTTAACTCTCATGACAGCTTTAGGTGGGATACATGATCTCAGCTTCACAGAATGGGAAACCAAGGCACAGAGAAATGAATTGTTTAATAAAATGGCTTAGAAAGTCCTAGAGTTGAGGGTTTGGACCCAAGTCTCTCTAGTCCCATGAGCTGTCCTCGTGGTCTACCTGCGAACGCTCTTAACAGTAAAGTTGATACTATCACAGGAGCTCCTCAGGCTCCAACAGTTAGTCCCTGACTTCTCCTTTCCCCCAGACAGGCTGAGCACCCTCCTGCCAGGGTGGACCCTGGGTGCATCTTCACTAGCTCGTCTTGATCTCTGAGTACTCTGTGCTGCTTGCGGCCTCACAGTTCTGAGTCTCTCGTGACTTCACCTCACAAAGCTTCATCTCCCGGAAGTTGAGAGAGGCATAATGGAGTTCCTGTTGTTCCCGGTGAGGCAAGGCATCCCCAGCAGGGGGCGCTTGCGTTTGAGGGCTGTCTGGCCAGGGCTTCTTGAAGGCCTGACGGGGAGAAAGGGGAGTCACAGAAGGAACATAGAAGCATGCACGGTGTCAATTCTTATAAACCCATTCTTATGGTTTTTGTTGCCTCAGCGCCTGTTTTGAGTATAAATTGGACTTTCTCATACCAGAAACAAAGGTTAGTTGCCCTTGACATGGTTTCTGGCTCTCCACCTCCTTCCAATTACTCAGGATGTCTGGCTTGTAAACCAACTCTTGACCTATGTTCATAACAGCACAATTTGTAATTGCTAGATTGTGGAAGCAACCCAAATGTCCATCCACCGAGGATTGGATAAGAAAATTGTGGTACTTTTATACAATGGAATATTACTCAGCTGTAAAGAAAGAGAAACTCGAGGCTTTTATAGGTAAATGGTCACAACTAGAGACCATACTCATAAGTGAAATAAATCAGACCTGCATGTGCAAGCACCGCATTGTCTCACTAGTGTAAAACCTGAAAGAGTTAATTTAAACTCGGAGGTATGATAGACATTGTGAAATGATAGGAAAACACTCAAGGGTAAAGGGCAACTGGGGTGTGGGAAAAGAGAAGGGAAAGAAGGAGACATTATGTAAGTATGTATATACAGGATAGTTAACATAGTTGATCTACTGTCTTCTATTTCTTTGCTGAAAGAAACTGTTAATGAGTCCTTGATTGATCAATATTGCATGTCTGTATTTGTTTTCATGAGAAACCACTTTGAAGATATCAGTATGTAAACAACAAGCATTCTACCACTTTGTTTGGAACTCTGTATTGTCTGTGCTGTTCTTTTTCTATTTTGTAAAAGGTTGTCTGTCTGTTAATGTTTTCCTCCTTTTATTTTTAAAATTAAAAGAAAAAAAACCACCTCTTGGTGCCCACTTACCCATGGGACAGCTGGATACAACTTACTTGACTAGACCCTTTGGCCACCATACACATGGACTGTGCAATGTCTGCTTTTCAGTCGCAGCGCAACTCCACAGAATTCTACTTGCTTGCTCTAAGCCCACCCTCTAGAACTCCCTTTCAGAAACCTGCTTGGATAATACACTAGGCCCCAATAAAGGCTTTAGCCTTTATAACCTCCCACTGCTCCTCCTTCCCATTGGTCCTATGAAGTGTGCTACCCTATCCTCCTTAGGGGTCTATAAATAATAAAACTTCTTCTGGAAATTCGTGTGTTTCTTTTTTTTTTTTTTTTTTTTTTTGGTTTTTCTCCGGTACCGGGAACCCACCTCACGACCTTGCACTTGCCAGGCAGGCACTTTGCCGCTGAGCTAAATCCCCAGCCCCTTGTGTGTTTCTTTGAGTTGCCTCATCTGCGTCTCACCTGACTGACACACCTGAACCTAACTTCATTCCCGCTTGGAGCTCTCCCAGAAAGTGGCTAACTTGGTAGGAATGGAATGGACACTGGCCAGATGAGACCACAGGGCACCTGGCAGCATGAACAAGTTTCCTGTGAGAGGGACTCTGGTCATGGTTTGGACATTTGGCATTAGGCTTCTACCAGGATAAACAAATATCCTGAGGAAGGATAAACAAATATCCTGAGGAAGGCATGTTGTACATGTCCAGTCACATCCCTTGGATTCTCATCAGGGCAGGGCTAGAGTTCATGGCCATTACCCTTATGTGAGACCTCTAGGCCAAATTGTGGGAAAGTACAGCATAGGATTCCTGAGGAGAAGAAGGCTGGTAAGCTGTTTGACCCTAGAATTTATAAGGACATAAAATATTTTTAGACACACAAATCCCTAGAAGTTTCAGTTTAGGAGGGAGGGAATAAAGGAGGAAGGGAAAAGGGGAAAAAGAGAAAGGAGAAGGAGGGAGGGAGGGAGGGAGAGAGAGAGACAGACAGAGAGACAGACAGAGAAAGAGAGACAGAGAGACAGACAGAGAAAGAGAGACAGAGAGACAGACAGAGAGAGAGAGAGAGGGAACATAGTAACTCCTGTGACATGTATGAGATATAATGGTGACAAAATAGTTCAGTAAAATATGTACCTGCATATTTAAAAAGACAATGAATAAAAAATCTTAATTACATTAGTGATAACTCAGAATGAGTTATCTGCTGATATGTAGAAAATATCAACACTTTAGAAGGTGGAAGGAAGAGATAAAGAGATAAAGAGATAAAAATACACCAGAGTTCTTTGAGATATAAGACAGAGATTAGCCAGATGTGGTAGCCCACACCTGCAATGCCCGTACTCTGGGAGATTGAGACTAGAGGTTTGTAAATTTGAGTTTATCAGAGCAGCTCAGAAAAAAAGTCTTGGGATGTAGTTCGGTGCAAAGGCCTTAGATTCAGTCCCTAGTAACACACACACACACACACACACACACACACACACACACACACACAAACAGAAAAAAAAAATCCCAGGGATTAATTCTTAAGTAAGATAGAAGAAAAATGAAATACTGAAGAAGAAGAACCAAGAGATGGTGAAAAAGTAAAATAGTATAAAGGTGAAATAGTACAAAGAAATCTACATATATCAAAACCATAATAAATACTAATACCAATACAATAAACTCAACAAAATGTATCAAATTTCATTCTTAAAAACCTGGTTACATACTATTCAAAATATCACTGTTGAAGGCTAAGTACTTAAAGTTTTGGTGGGAAAAAGATTTGAAAAATACCAGGCTATAACCAGGCACAAGTTGGTGTAACTATATTAAGTTCTAACCAAACAAACTTTACAATAAAAGAATAGAGAGGATCAATATGTGTGATAAAATGTTCAACTCATTGAGAAGATTTAATACTTCTAAAATGTATAGTTTTAATTTAAAAGCACATCAGATGTAAGAAATACATCTGATAGATGTATTAGATTTGTCAATTAAAAATAATTGACAAATACTTTACCATAATGTAAGATTTCAGCACACAATCCTCAAGTCCTGATGGACTGTCATTGAAGACCTGCCATTAAAGATGTGGATTTGAACACTACAGTGAACACACTGGCCTGGTAATCTTATCCAGAGCTTCAGAAACAAACTATGCATCATTCTCAAGCACACAGGAAGTATGATATCCCACATATCAAGTCTCAACAAATTTTTAAAAAGTTATCATAAAAGCCTTGTATTTTGACCAAAGAGCATCTAGCTAGAATCTTGAGTGGAAAGGTGTTTATAAATCTCTGGAAAGGTGTTTATAAATTCTCATTAAAAACTTTTTAATGCCGAACAATCTAAGATTCAAAGAAGAACTCACAATTGTTCTTTAACAATATCTAAGAGTGAATGACATTAAAATAACACAGATCAAAAGCTGTAGAATGGGTGAACTGGGGATGTATCTTGGTGGTAGAGTGCTTGCCTAGCATGCATAAGGCCCTGGGTTTGATCTCCAGCACAGCAAAATAAATAAAAAAGTTTTAAAAATGGAGCTAAAGTGGTGTTCTGAGAGATGTATCCATAATTACTTTCATAAAGAAGAAAAGTATAAATTAATAAGCTGAATATTCAGTTTTAAACGTTTGTGAAAACATTAGAATTAGTCAAAGCAAATAGAAGATGCTGAGAAAATGCAAGTAAAAGTAAGTACAATAGAAAACAAAGGTACAGTAAAAAAAAATCAACATTCCTTAAAGCTGGTTCTTTCAAACTGATGCTGAACCAGACAATTAACAAGATTCAGCTAGAAAAAAAGAGAGAAGTCACTAAAAACTAATGTCAGGAATATAAAAGGAGAAGTAACCGCAACTAAAATAGTGAAAAGAACAGCGAATACCACTCATAACTTTGTGATAGATAAGTAAAAACTTTGGTGTAATAAACAAATCCTTAAGAAAAAGCTCACAGAACACATAAAATGACTGCACTAGAAGACTGCACATAGAAACAGCACCAGGACCTGACAGTTTTACAAGTGACATCTAGCAGTCATTCAAGAAACAAGCCATTCCAATTTTATACATGTTCTTCCAGATAATACAAAAATGAGAAAGAGTCTCTAGTTCCTTGATATTATTTTGATGCCCAAAGTTAACAGAAGAAAGGAAGACAGGCCCATGGATATCGATGTAAAACTGTTAAACAAAAGATTATCAAGTTGAATCTATCAGCATATCAAAAATATATATACCAGAAATACTTTGGTTCCTCCATGAAACCTAGAATAGCTTCATCTTAGAAAGTCTTTGCCATTAATAAAGGTAACACATGAAAGTTAAAAAAAATCCTATCATGTTGCATCCATACTCATAAAGTGAAATAAATCAGACTTGTATGTAGAAACATAACATTTTCTTCCTGGTATGAGAACTGAAAGAATAAATTAGGTCCAAAATATACAATAGATATTGTGAAATGGGAAGAAATTGTTCAAAAGGAAAGAGGAACTAGGGTGCGGGAAAGACAAAAGGAAGGAAGGAATGAGGGAAAAAATACAATTACTAGTTTCTCTTGGTTCATCAAAAAGAAAGGTTTTTGCTAATACCATTTGGAGAATTTTTTATGCCCATATCTTGTACTCTGAGTAACTACTTTGAAGCTATTAATATGCAATGTATTAACTATTGTTATTCTCCTATATTGTTTTGCAATTTTGTTTTATTTTTTCCATAAAATAAAGAGTTAAATAAGAATTATAAAAAAATCCCATCAGTAGATTCATCTGAAAAGTTCAATATAAATTTATGATAAAAACTTTAAGTGATTTAGTGATAGAAAGGAACTACTTTAAGGTAATGAAGGTAAGCAAAAAACAAACACAGAAATTTGACTAGCAGGATGAGTACATTGCCTTCAAAACTGGAATAATAAAAGATGCCCATGGTCACATTTTTACCCAACTTTGACTAGAATCTTGGCCCAAATATTAGAGCAAGAAAAAGGAATGATATGCTCAGGTTATAAAGGGGAAGAAATTGTTATAATTTTTCAGAGGTATAATCCTCTAATTTGAAATTTCAAGAATCTAAATAACTCCCAAGACCAATATCTGATATTTCAAAATTTAAAATTATTAAAAATACTTCAATTTCTGTATACCCACTATTTCCAAAAAAAGAGTGTAGCATGTTGCAGGGATATAAGATCAGTAAAGAATATAATCTGAGTTGCATTTGTTGTAGCTGAGAGAATAAAGATAGTTCTCTGCACTCAGACAGCTGACACCCCAGCAGCAGTGGTGTCACTTGGAGAAGTGCCCACTTACCTGCAGAGAGGTGCAAAGGTTACTGCCAAGACCACAGTGTCGGAAAGAGAAGGCAAAGCTCTGTGTTGAAATGAACACAGCTGTCCGCTGTTGAAAGGAACTGGAGCCATGTGCTGCCCACAGCCCAAGGTGTTGCAGGGACTTCCGTTGCTGTAGGAAGCTGGCTCTATGTGCGTGCTTACTTCTCCACCAAAGTGAAGAACAGCGGGTTATTTGTAGGAATCTGACACCTCTTAGAAGAAAGAGACCTACAGGGTGTGTATGAGGCTGGATGATTTTTGCTCAGTACTTGAAGCCCAAAAGGATGTGTTGATTCTTGATGGAAATAACTTTACACTTCAACTGCTTTGATTCAGCAAGTTATTACAGTTAAAATTTAAAAACTGCTAATTTGGGGGGATGTTATCTATATCTCTAAAAAAAAAAGAACAGATCAGTAGGCTTAGGATTCCCTAATAATTCCTCAACTACCAAATCAGTAAAGATTCTAAATGACACCCCAAATCAACCTGTGATATTTGTCAATTGTCAAAAAAACCCCATACTTTAAAAAAATACTTTCATTCTGCATTCCAGCAACAAGCAATCAGAAAATGCACCTTTGAAAACACAGCATTTATAGCAGCAACAAACAGCAGTACTTAGGAAGGAAATTAAAAATTTGCAAGATCTATGTAAAGAAAGTCTATAAATTTCCTCAAGATTGATGAATAAAACAATTAAGAATTTATGTTTATGTAAGGTCACCTGAGGGAAAGTGAAAACCAACTATTCACTGTGAAAATAAATTTACATTATAGATGAAAAAAATACTAGTACAAAATACATAAAGCCCTCCAACAAATTCAATATGTAAAAGATCAGACACCTGACTGGCAAATGGGCTCCAGAGGTGACCAAGTATTGTATCGAAGTGTGAAAATGCCTGGGAGATGTAGAGAGACTTTTCATGCTTGTGGTAGCCAAAGAAATGCAAATAGACAGCATAGTGAGAACCTGAGATGACAAAAAGAATTGACCTGTCTGCTAAAACCAGGTGTTGGAAAGATTATGAGTCACCAGGAAATTACAAGCTTAGACAGAAGCTTGAATGGATACAACTGATCTTATAAAGACGGACATTTACCTACCTATGACCCAGCAATTAAATTCTAGGATAGTGTTAAAGAAAAATTCTCACAATCTGAAAGCAACTTAAAAATCTACTGGTGTGAGCTTAGATAATAAACATGATCATAAAATAAAGTACTCAGTGGGCAAATGAACAGACTGAAATTTTGTGCAATAATATTTGTGAATCCTCACAATACCACATTTAGCCAACAAAGCAAGTCTAAGAAGACTGCATGGCTCCTGATACCCTTTATGGCCTCAGAAATAATTAAAACTAAGTAGCATCAACACTAGGAAGACAAGATTCACAATGCTGGTTACTGGAGATGGACCAAGGAGCAACAGAGATGGATCTAAAATATAAGTAATAATCAGTGGTTTTGGTCTTAAATTTGATGGTGGATTGGAAGCAGTTGTTTATCATGCTATGGATAAAAATGAGTAAGTAAAGGTGAACAATACTTGTCCCAGGAATAGAAGGTTGATGAAGAGCCAAGCACTTTGGGTAATTCCATTCAAGGTAACATGGACCAAATTTTATAAAAGAAGAGAGGAGACAGGTGTGACAGGAAGAGAGAGAGAGAGAGAGAGAGAGACAGAGAGAGAGACAGAGAGAGAGACAGAGAGAGAGACAGAGAGAGAGACAGAGAGACAGAGACTGGAGAAAACCAGACCCAGCCCTCAAGAACTTTGCAAATGTGATGGGAGGGTGGACACAGGTAAAAGTACATTATCAGCACATCAGCAAGGGGTACATGTGAGGCTGTGTGTATGCAGAAGAGGCAGGGATAGATGACAATGGGAGGGTTGTGGCAAAGTTTTACTGGAGTGGGAGATACGAGATTAGAGCTAGGAGGGTTAGACAAAGTGGTGTGGTGGAAACAGGGGAGGAACTGTACATGCAAAGACTTAAGGCTGTGAGAAGAGGGGTCCATGTGGAGGCAGTGAGAGGGCCAGTGCAGCTGGTCCAGGGGGCAGGAAACAGACTGATGGGCCACAGAACGTGGACTTGATTTCCTGCTGAGTGGGATCAAACAACAGCACTGAGACTCCAGGTTGGCTGGAACATAGTTCTCCTGGGAAGATGGTCTGGCAGGCTTGGTCCAGGGTGGAAGTGGAGGCAAGGATGCAAGATGGACTCTATGATTGTAGGGGTAGGACAAAAGGATCAACAGAGGGCCAGGTAACCGGTTTACTTAAAAGGAGGAGTACACCACAGGTAGTGATTTATTGGCTTGGGGAGATGAAGAGGGAGAAAGGGAGAGAAGGTTCTGGGAGGAAAGGATTTGGGAAAATGCTGAGGAGCTCAGCCTGAACTTTGCAAATGAACATGCAAAAGGGCCTCCCATGCATGATGAGGCTCCTACATCACTCACCCAGGTGGCTGTATCCATGACAGGGTCCTCATCGTCCATTCTCTTTGACTTTCCAGCTGCTTGAGTCCTCCGGGCCTTCATGCTAAGGGAAGAAACCAGCACACTGCAGCTAGCAGGGCTCAGGCACTGTGAGTGGACTGCCCTGGAGCCCTGAGAAGATGGTGAAAATGATGACAGGTATCCAGGCCTTGGAGCCCAACTCGGAGACCTTGACATGTGAGAGAGGACTCCACCTGCCTGGATAACCTGTTTTCCATCACTAAAGATCTCTCTTACATACAAAACTTGCACACATGTGACCGTAGCAGTGTTATTCATAATAGCCGAGAAGTGAGCACAGCACAAGTGTCCATTAGTAGACGAGAATGGACAAGTAAGAGATGCTTCATCCACATGGCGGGATCTTATCTGGACACAAAAGGGAAGGGAGTACTAACACCTGCTGTACACAGGGGCTGGAAAACACCATGCTGAGTGAGAGTAGCTAGTAAAAGGACACTTACTGCATGATTTCATTGGCAGGAAACATCTAGAAGGAACCAGTCTAGGGAGAAGATTCTAGGCCAGGGCTGGGGGAAATACGGTACAGGAAGGCTGATGGGTAAAGGGTTTCTTTTTCATTTGGGACCAATGAAAAAGTTCTAACGTCATTATGGCAATGGGATCGTGACTCTGAATATACCCAGTCATTGAGTCATACACTTTCAGTGGATCGGTTGTACAGTATGTGCAGTATTTCTTAATCTGTCAGGAAAAAGAAAAGACTCTGCCGGATGTATTCAGCTCCACATTTCTGGGATTCAGCGAGTTTGCTCCTCTGCCCTTCTGTACACCTCCACATCCCTGCAGTGAGTTCTTATAATTCCATGTGTCCTGGGCCTCCAATCTGAGTGTGTTGCATTCTCCCGTGGCGGAAGCAGGCTCAGCCACCACAGACAGTTTCTATTCTCCATCACCACGAGTGACCACACCCGGCGTGGTCCATCCAGATATCTGCCTCATACTCTTTCCTCCTGGTGACCACCTGCTTGTGGGACAGCCATGTACAGCCTGCCTAAGAGGCCCTGCTGACTGCCACACGCTTGGACTGTGTTGATCTGCTGTTGTGACCTCCTCTCAGTCATAGTGTGACTTTCTGGATCTTGTGCCCGCCTACTTTAAACCACCAATCAAACCTCCCTGCTGCCAACCTGTTTGGAAAATGCCCTGAGCCCCTATAAAGGCTTTGTGCCAGGGGTTCCTCCCTCACTCGCTCTCTGCATGTGCCCCCTGACCTCCCAGTGTACCATGCAGCCCCCAGGACTGTGACTTTATTTCCTCTAATCATTGGAGAAAATCTTTCCATCATAAGATGCTAAATCACAACAATTTCACTGGGGCCAAGACTCACATGCAAAAGAGGATGAGGCAGAGGCACAGACAGAGCAGGGCCATGGCACCAGCTCCTCCAAGGGCTCCAACCATGGCTCCTGCCCAAGGTTCCGATTTCCCTGTGGATGAGAGGGTGGTGAGAGGACTTGCTCTCAGGACTCAATCTCTGGTCATCCTGCCTCCTTGTGGACTTTGCTCCAAGCCCCTGCTAGGAAACGGAGCACCCTGTCCTCCCAGGCAGCTTGGTGTGGACTCCAGCCTCACATGTGCCCCATCCATCCCTCTCAGATCTACATGCCTCCCCTCAGCTGCCCCCTCTCTTCCTCCACCACCCTCTCTCGCTCCAGAACTGGCCCCCCTGACCTGGCAGCAGCACGACAGTGACGCTCTGGGCCCCACGCACATTCCGGGATTCACAGCTGAGCCTGAGGCTAGAGTTGAGCCCCCCATGGAGGCTCAGGGAGCTGTTGGCCCAGAACCCGGCCGAGCTGGAGGTGACCGTGAAGGAGGCGCTGCTGCTGTTCCCCTCCAGCAGCCTCTCCCCTAGCCTCCAGCGCAGGAATGGGGCTGGCCAGGCATGGGAGGAGCAGCTGCAGTCTAGACCTGCAGCCTCCCAGGAGCACCAGGGTCCCAGCAGCTTGGGGGCATCTGTGGGAGGGAGGAGGTGGGTCACAGGTGCCATCCCCTCCAGCATCCAAGTGTCCTGCCCCCGAAGCCCTCACACTCACAATACACGGAGAGGCTCACAGAGGCATTTCGGGAGCCCAGATCATTCTGAGCTCGGCAGGTGAAATTTCCTCTTTCTGCGGTCCCTACATGAGGCAGCTCCAGGGCCCGAGCATTGGAGATGAGGGAGACATTCAGGTCAGGAGACTCCCAGAACCAGCTCAGTTGTGCAGGGGGATAGCTGTCCACATTACAGGTCAGCTGTAGAGGCTGGCCCTCCAGGATGGAAAGGGATGAGGCATTTTGTAGAATCTGGGGGACTTTCAGGAAAGAGAGAAAGAGGAAGGGAGGGAGGGAGGGAGGAAGAAAGGGAGCGAGATGAACACACAGAAGGGTGATGTTCCCAGGTTCTCCTCCTCCTGAGGTCTGATGCCTCTCTCTCTTCTCTCCTCCCAAGGCCCACCCTGGACTGGTTCCCACTGGTTCTCAAGGACAGAGCCTTTACACCCACATGATGTTGATCAAAAGACTCTGGGCTTTGCATCTTCAGAGGAAGCTCAAAATCTCGCTGGGACTTGGCCAGGACTGTATGGCAGGCAGAAAACAGAGCAGCACAATGGCTTTGCAAACCAGGTTTAGTCACAGCAGGAAATAAACTAAGGGGCAGGAGGACCACACAGCTCAGCCAGGCAAAGGTGATATGGACATGCATTTGGGCTTGGCGACCCTGGCGAGAAAATGGCTCATGGAAGCGGTGGGGGATGGGCAAATCCAAAGTCTGCTCCTTTCTTTGAGCAGAGTGTGTGTGTCTGTGTGTCTGCGCATGCACACGTGCATGTGTACATGGGCCATACAGGAGCGGGGGCAGAGGGTGATGATTCTTGTCCTTCCTTCCCTCCTATCTGCCTCATACAAGCTCCGATGACTCATTGCCACTCAAGGGGTCCCGGGCCCAGAGGGAACAGGCTCTTTCCTACCTGTGTCATTTCTGAAGAGAAGGCTGATGCTGAGATTGTGTGGAGCATCTGGGGAAAAAGACACAGCCTCACTTCAGGGTGTCAGAGGGAGGGAACAGGCCCTGGAGGTACCCAGGGGGTCATGGGAATGGAAGGTGGGGATGCTGTCCTCCCCCCACCAGAAAAGCAAAGCTCAGGTCCACACAGTTTTCTCAGGTTATCTTTTCCCTCTTTCCTACATGCACATGCACGTGCACACACACACACACACACACACACACAC